TGTTCACAGTACCCAGAGAGGGACTGCGCACACAGCACCCACCGGGAGACCTGTTCACAGTACCCAGAGAGGGACTGCGCACACAGCACCCACCGGGAGAGAGCCTGTGTTCACAGTACCTGAGACAGAGGCCGCTCACACCCAGCGAGGGGCTGCACTTACTCATACTGACTGGTGTAGATGAACTTCATCAGGATGAGCTCCTGCATGTGCTCGTGGAAAATATCCTCCAGCGTCCGCCCCCATTCTTCCCTCAGCCACGTGCGGAATTCCTTCGAGAGAACACAGGTCACGAAAACCGCCACAACACTAGGGCTCGGAGAGGCTGTGATGCTGAGTTCACGGGATGAAGACAGAGGCCGGGCAGGAGGGAGGGGGGCTGCTGTGTGTTTGGTCTCCCAGCTCCTGGCCTCCCTTCCTGTTGAGGCGTGGCGCCAGGGGCTCTGGTCCCCACTTCCCCCACCCGACTTCAACAGGAAGGAAGCGCAGGGACCGTGGGGGTCCATTGGGGAGGATGGGGCCGCAGCCCATGTCGAGAGCGCCCAGGAGGCAGCTGGGCAAGCCTCGCTTCTGTGCCACCCACACAGGTGGCGTCTACACTGAGCCTGGTTCTCAGGTTTCTGGGGGAGTGGGCACAGCAGACCCCCGTGCCGGCCAAGTCAGCAGAATTGCCTTCTGCAGCCACCAATGAGGAACAGGACAGGGACAGGCGGGGCAGAGAGTGTGGGCGGATTTTCCTTTTTAAAATGTGCCTTCAGGGCTTCCCTAGTGGCGCAGTGGTTGAGAGTCCACCTGCCGATGCAGGGGACGCGGGTTCGTGCCCCAGTCCGGGAGGATCCCACATGCGGCTGGGCCGGTGAGCCATGGCCACTGAGCCTGCGCGTCCAGAGCCTGTGCTCTGCAACAGGAGAGGCCACAACAGTGAGAGGCCCGCGTACCGCAAAAAAAAAAAAAAAAAATGTGCCTTCACTGGGATTGACATATACACACTGCTATATATGAAATAGATAAGTAATAAGGACCTACTTGTATAGCACAGGGAACTCTACTCAATACTCTGTAATGATCTATATGGGAAAAGAATTTTAAAAAGTGTGGATATATGCATATGTATAACCGATTCACTTTGTACAGCAGGAAATAACACCACATTGTAAATCAACTATACTTCAATAAAATTTTTTTAATAAAGTAAAATAAAATGTGCCTTCACAGTTATGTTCAGTAAGTATATTTGTAAAAAGAAAACTCTTATGAATACCTCATCCGCAAAGTCCAATAATTCATTATGGAATCGAACAATGAAGGATATTTAGTGCTTAACAGCTTCATTCTGCACACCTGACGTTAACTAATCCACAGCTCTGGGATCCTAACTCAACAGTGTTTCTAATGAATATCTAGAATTAGCTCTACAAACAGAAGCAAAAGCAATTTACAAAAAGAAAAAAAAAAAGCTACAATCTGTCAATTGCTTTAATACGTTACTGCCCAAACCCTGGCAAAGAAGAGAAATTACTAGTGACTGAAATAAACAACTATTAGAACTACAAGGTCAATATATAAAATTAACTGAATTTTTGTATACTAGCAGCACAAAACTGGAAAGTAAAAAAAAACTTAAAAATCCTACTTACAACCACCTCAAAAGCCATAGGACTTAGGAATAAACATTACAAAACGTGTGATACCTCTACTCCGAAAACCACTAGATGCTGCTGAAAGGCGGGGGAAGAGGCCTACAGAGCAGAGGCACCTGCGAACCGGGAGACTTGGTATTAGGTCAGCAACTGTCTCCAAACTGATCTACAGACTCAACATCAGGCCAATCGTAATCCCACCATGCTTTCTGTAGAAACTGACAAGCTGATTCTGGAATTCGTTTGGAACATCCACAGCAATCTTGCAAAAGAACAAGGTTGGAGGATGTACACTAGCGTGCGCTGTGACCCACTACAAGATGACAGTAACCGAGACGGTACCTGAGCAAGAGGGCAGAACTAAAGACAGAGCCTGGAGGGAGGCTAACCTAGTGGTTACGATTCCGGGCTTTGGCTGCCATGGCCTGGTTGGGGAACTGAGATGCCGCAAGCTGTGCAGCCAAAAAATAAGAGAGAGAGAGAGAGCTTGGAAACACCAACGTGTGTCTCAGGAGCGGACTTTCGATCACAGCATCCAAGCCACCTCCCAGGGAAAGAAAGTCTTTTACACAAATGGTGCTTGAACAACTGCACAACCACAGGGAGCAAAGGAGCCCCGATCCCCACCTCACACCACACACAGGAACCATTCAAGATGGGTCACAGACCGAAAAGTAAAGTGAAGCTACCAAACTTCTAAAAAGAAGAGAGAGAGAGAGAGAGAGAGAGACACTCTCTTTGCAACTGGAGGGTAAGCAAAGTTTTTTAAGACAGAAAACAATAACCACTAAGGAAGAAACTTGACAAATTAGACTTCACCCAAATCAAAATCTTCCACTTAAGTGGCTTAACTCATGAAGGGTAGGCCCTTAAAAAAAAAATCAAATAGAGAAATAACAGATAAAAATGGAAGTAAAAGAATGTAGTGATTTCAGTGTTGCCATGGTACATAATCAGACTTGAGCTAAATACCATGAAGCTGGCCTGTGAACAACCATAATCTTATTTACTTTGCATGAGAAGGTCAGTCATTAAGAATACCAAGCAGACCCAATTACTCAGAACAAATATGCTTACTATGAAATTATCTTACCAGATATGTATCCACAAGGAAAAACACAGGGGCCTAGAACATATCAGACAAGACTAAGTCCACTATGGACCCAGGGCTCGTCCACCACGGCCAACACCGCCCCATCACTGCTTCACTCTGCACAGCGGCCTAGGAGCTGGGTGCTAACGTCTTCCCTGTTCTACAGAGGTTTGGGGCTTGGAAAAGTCAACAGACCTTTCCAGAGCCACCCAGCTAGCAGATGGCAGAATTAAACCTAACCAAAGACCCCGTGCTAACCGGTCTCATCTCTGCCAGGGCCAATGCCAAGGCTGGCAGGAACGTGGTGAGGCAGGGGGCTCACGTGCCCTGGTGGGCTGTAAACGGGGACCAGCAAACTGACAGCACGTAAAGAGAATCTGGAATATCTTCAGGGCCTTTTACCCAATTCCATTGCTGTACAATCCAAAACCACAACGTTTTTGCAGAGTTCAGGCAGTGGGTCACAGTAATAATGCCCGGCATCTCTCCTGGGCGGCTCCGACCAGCTCTGGCACTAAGTCATTCAGCGTCTTACTCAACCCTCCAGAATCACTCGGCACCGCAGGTAATCTCATGGCTCCATTTTACAGACAAGGGCTGAGGCTCCCAGAGGCTAAGTCACTGAGTCACATGGTCAGGAGGGTAACAGGGGAATATCTGACCACAAACCCCAAGTCCAACTGCAGGATGGTCACACACCTACAGTCATTACAGCGCAGCAGATGACAGATGGAACGCTGCATTAAAAATAAAGTTTGTAGGGACTTTCCTGGTGGTCCAGTGGTTAAGATTCCACACTTCCAACGCAGGGGGCATGGGTTCAATCCCTGGTCAGGGAACTAAGATCCTGCAGGCTGCGCAGCATGGCCAAAAAAAAAAAAAGTTCGTAAAGAATTCTAATGAGACTGGGAAATGTTTCTGGAATAACGGTTAAGCTAAAAAAAAATAGAAAAACTATCCAAATTAGATAGTTAGACTGCAATGACATCATGAAGGCTGAAGAAAACTTGAAGGGATGATGGAGGACAGGCACGGAGGCCGCTCCTCGTGGGGCTGTGTCAGCACTCTTTTCCCTCCCGATTCTGAGGATTTCGGATCTGATGATGACGAGGTATCATTTTAGGAATGTGGCGAGAAAGTACATAAGACAAAGGAAAGCAAAATAAAAGCCACTTGTGTGCAACTGAGGGGAGTCCAGCGCCAGAGCCTTCTGCAGGGCCGAGCAACCGCAGGTAGGGCCAGGCCACACGCCCTTCCCTACCTCTGCTCCCCCTCACAGCGCCCCCCCCACCCCCGATTTCCAGAAGCCTCAGGCTGCAGGGCCTGGACGGGCGCGGGCAGGGAGGGAAGAGCCAGGAAGAAGAGCAGGCAGCGTCTGCAGCGGGAGCCAGAGAGCAGACGCACTGCTGGGGTCTGGACGGGCGAAGGCCTGAGCTGCTCTCAAAGGCCCAGGAGATGAAGCTGCAGTTTGAGCAGCACAGGGAGGGCCCCCAGGAGGGGCACGTAAGGAGCAAGCAGGACACCCCAGTCCTGAGGGGCCAGATCCCGCCGCAGGACGTGGCCTTGGAAGGTGCACAAAGCTGGCAGAAGTCCCAGAACTGGGGACCGGGATAGGGAATGCGGTGGTTGGCAAGCCTCAGGACGCAGCTTATGCAGAGCTGGCCTTGGGTGTTGACGAAGGGATCACAGCCAGCACGGCCTGCAGGGGCTGGGGCGGGCATCTCCACAACTCTCCACGGTACCAAGGACAGCCTTCTGCCTGGAGACAGTGATAAGCAAGGCCCGTTCACCTTCCTACCCTCCTAGGCCACCAGGAGTCCTCCATTCCCTTGGGAAGCACCCTTGTGGCCCAGAATTTTAAGTGACTATCAACCATCAGAGCACAGAGCAGCCCGGAATCCAGGGCCGAGACTTTCACCTCTTCTTCAGAGCTGTCAGGACACACGGCAGTGCCCACCTCACGGCTCCTCCTCTCTCCCTGGAGCCTGAAGCCACGCTCTGGGTCTGAAAAACTCAGCTACAGAGTGAAGATGTTTCAGGCTGACACAGGAATCCATGGGAGAACCCGTCCCCCAGTCCCCCAGCTCCCCCCTTGGAGGGCAAGAGGGAGGGAGACAGGAGACGGCACAAGGAGCCAGCAAAGTGGCCCCGGGCAACTGAGATGGACAGAGTGACTGTGCCTCACACAGCAAGCCCCCCTGCCCCCATGACTCTAGGATGGATCCCTCGGCACCTCAGGCAGCCCAGCCCCTGCTCTGCCTGCAGACGTGCGGCATCTCCCCACCCCAGACCGGCAGGAGTTCCAAGTCCACTATTAAATGATTCCGAGGCCTAGAGAGAAAAGAAAGGCTCCCCAGTTCTAGAAGCCAGCAAAAGACTGCTCCTAAAGCCAAAGACAGCACAAAAAATGTTAGACCACGCCCGTTCATCAATGCAGAAGTCCTAAATAAAACAGGATCAAAGAGCATCCAGGAGCAGAGAGAACTGTACCCCACGATCAAACAAGCTCTCTTTTCACGACTTCAAAGTGGTTAGAAATCTATTAACATAAGTCATCACATTACTAGATTAAGGGGAAAAAAAATCACCTGATGGTTTCCACAGATGCTAAAAAAAACTGGTAAATTCAACATCATTTCTCAATTAAAACAAAGCCCTCTTAATAAAACACGAATAAACAGCTCCATCCCTAGCATAATAATGTATATCTTGACCCCAAGGCCACCTTGCTGCCTCGTGACAGGACCATGTGAACCACACCCACCACTAGACAAGGGTGCTATCCTCACCACAAGGGGTCAAGGAAGAAGGAAATGTCATTATTTGCAGATAATCAGTATTATCCTGGAAAACTCAAGGTAATCAACTCAAAGATGCTCATAAATGAAAGAGAAGGCAGTAAGATGGGTGGGTACAAAATTAATATGCAACAGCTTTTATATATAAAATCACCAGCTGAAAGATACGAGAGCCAAGAGTCCATTTACAACAGCAACAAAAGACCAGACGCTTTACAACAAACGTGCACGATCTACGCGAAGAAAATCAAATTCAAATGGCAGCACAGGACAAAGATGGCATTTTGAATCGTAGAGAAAACCTGCATCACTCAGCACCAGTGCTGGGGTGACTGAGGGGTACCTGCACTACAGCCAAGGTGGGCTGAAGCTCACTCTACAGAATAAACCCACAGAACCAGCGATAAATGTGGGAAACAAACGCGTGAAAATGAAAACACGAGCGCGTCTGTAAGTATAATTTCAAAGTGGGGAAAGGATTTTAAGATGACATCAAACTAAGAAGCTATTCACGGGCTTCCCTGGTGGCGCAGTGGTTGAGAGTCCGCCTGCCGATGCAGGGGACATGGGTTCGAGCCCCGGTCCGGGAAGATCCCACATGCCGTGGAGCGGCTGGGCCCGTGAGCCATGGCTGCTGAGCCTGCACGTCCGGAGCCTGTGCTCTGCAACGGGAGAAGCCACAACGGTGAGAGGCCCGCGTACCACAAAAGAAGAAAACAACTAAGAAGCTATTCAGGAAGGGGAACTCCCTGGCGGTCCAGTGGTTAGGAGTCTGCGCTTTCACTGCCCAGAGCCCAGGTTTGATCCCTGGTCGGGGAGCTAAGATCCCGCAAGCCACACAGTGTGGCCAAAAAAAAAGGAAAAGACAGATACAACTGCAAATATAAAAATTAAAAACTAAATTCTACAAGTGGAAACATACCTCATTTCAAACCAAAAGACAAAAGAATGAAGGAGGAAAAAATATTTGCATCTCGTATCTTGAAGGGTTCACTTCCTCACAGGATGAAAGCTCCTACAAATCAGTTAGAAACATAACAACAGCAAACAGAACCAGGCAAAGGATATGAACGCAGATTTCACAGAGGAGGAACCACAGGACACTAATCTTCGCCTCAGACATAAGAGAAACGCAGAGTAACCACCGAAGTCAGGATGCCAACAAAGCATTTTATTCTCACCTTAACTTCCAGGTGTTTTTCTAGTTTCCACAAGGAGCATGTTATTACCTTCATAATGAGAAAAAATACCATTCCGTCTCCAAATTGGTGAGGCCACACACGGTAGTTGGCTCACAGGAACTTTCTCTGATCCCAGAGTGTGTATTTCCAGAAATCCATTACATGGTCCTTTTAAGGTCTCAACAGCTGAGGAGGTTCTATTCTTGGAAAATATGCTGTTGACGTGTTTCACTTAAAAGTGGACTTGGAACATCCACTGATGTGTATGTGGTTGTATGTGAGACTGTGAATGACAGTGTTATTAGGGAAGGAAGCACGTCATTACCATCACCTTCACATACCATGCGTTCGGGAAAACAAGGGCCTCGTCTACCCTCAACAGATTCCAAGCAGCACGTGTGTACTCTCGTCTGCGCTGTCTCCCCGCAGACCCCTGGCTACCAGGGACCCAGCAGACTCAGAGACGCTAAGAGATGCACCCGACAAATACATGCAAGCTGCAGCGAGCATCCTGTATTTAAAGGTGTGAGGTTTTCCTAAGAAGGTTTCGGGATGGCGGTCTAACTAAAACTCAAAGGCGATGTGAGATTACTCGCGCAGAAAGGAAACCCGAAGACACTCACGCAGGCTCATCCACCACATGGCTGTGGACCGGGAGCCTCCACCACAGGGTTCACACCAATAAAGGCCTCCGGTCTCCCTGCCATTCACATCCAGGAAGAGACCCCACCGCCCACGGGCCTGTTGTCAAAGGGGCGACGGAGAACCAGGTAGAGAACTATTTCTACTCGGCCCGTTCATCCTGGGGGTGGCGGGGACTCAGAACCTGGGCCCAGCACACACGCCCACAGCGCCAGCATGATCCCGGGAGGCGGCCCTCCCTTCAAACCACCCACCCTCTCAGCTGCCCCGCAGGACAGGAGGGTCCGGCCTCACCTCCTGCCTCCCACCAGACATCCTGTGGTGGTCCGTCTGGTTGCACTTGGTGGAGAACTCGTCCTTCTTCACGATCTTGAGTGTCCACAACAAGGAGAAAGGGTAACGAGTCAGCCCCTAACCCCCACCAGAGCAGGCGTGCACCAGTCCCTCCCGCACCCACGCATCCCACTCATCTACAGGACCCCAAGAGGCCACCAGATCGCGGCTGCTCTAAGAAGGAAGGTTGGAACCCCCCTGAGCGCACGCTTCCCTCCCAGGGGGCCAGGCGTCGCTGTCCCCCGGGGCGTCCGAGAGCAGCACAGAGGGGCTGGCGCTCTCCTACTGAGATAGAGAACAGGCTTGCTCCCGGGCTGGCCACCTGCCAGGCCCACATCCGAGAGCAGAACGTCTGGTTCCAAGTTGATGCCCTTGCGAAGAGGAGAAAAAGGAACAGTGAGGAATCTCGCTTGGAAGGACAATTGGCTCTAACCAGAGGCAGAATCAGGGGAGGCTCCGGCAAGTGAATCTCTGAGGAGCGACAGCGGCATAGCGCACAGAAGGGCCGGGCCAGGGCCCGCTTCCCGGTCCTGCTGGCCGGCATGGGCGTGGTGCACAGCTGGGAAGACCCTGGCAAACAGCTGGCAGCAGGCCCGGGACGAAGTGAGGAGACCCAGCCCCTTACCTGCACACGCTGCCCCGCGTGCTCACCTGGACGTGGCCATTGTGGGGCCCCCTGTGGCCGTACATGCACTCCACCGTGGCCGACTTCCTCTCCATCAGGTGGATTCGGAACAAGGGCTTGAACCGCATCGGGTCGTCCACATGAGGGTCGTGGGGAGGCAGGTACATCCAGCCAATGATGAACAAGCCATCCACCTGTGCAGAGGTCCACACACGGCTGAGGGGGAGGCGGAGGCTCAGCATCCACACCCCCCAGATCACCACGAGGACCATTCCTGTCTTCACACTCCGGTCCCGCGGGGACCCTGGGGCCCCATCTAGCGCAGCAGGACGAGCACGGCCCCGCCCACCAGTGTGTGTTAATGGAAAAGTGGTTTATGAAACATGGTGACTAAAGTTGATAACGCTGCTCTATCACTGAAATCTACTAAGAAATAGAACTCAGTGCTCTCCCCACCCCTCAAAAAAAAAATAAAAATGTGAGGTGATGGGTACGTTAATTAACTAGACAGGAGAATCCTTCCACGGTGTACTTGTACATCAAATCAGATCACCACAATGTACGTTTTATACATCTTACAGTTTTGTCAATTATACCTAAACAAAGCTGAAAAAGTAACTAAATGTTTTAATAGAAAATGTAGTGGTTAGCCCCAAATCCGAGCAAACCTTTTAGAGAGAACTTCCAGCTATGAAGTGGGGGTGGGTAGGTGCCGGGAGCACAAGCTAAAAGACATAAGAAAGAAGCAGGAATGATCCAGGAAGTGCGACACCCAGTAGGGCAGCTGACCAGAGGAAAACGGGAGTGCTGCTTTCCACAGAAGAGACTCAGGAGGCAAAACAAAGCAGGCAGCACGAGGGCCTGCTTAGATCCTCGTTGTGAACAAGCCAGCTGTCGAAGGCGGTTCTGAGACCGTCAGGGAGCCTCGAGCATGGACTGGGCCTCAGGTAATCCAGGAACTACTGCCACTGCTGTGAGGCGTGGTCAGGACCTCACATGTGTGGGAACGTGCGAAACACCCACATGGTTAGAGATCCACACTGAAGTACAGACATGAACTGACACGGGCCTGGGATCTGCTTTAAAATACGGAAAAGAAAAGGCAAAGGGGCAGAGACAGACACCGTGAACCTGGCGCACTACGGCCAACCTCTGAGTCCAGGAGGTGGGCGTCTGTGGGCGTTCACCCAGCCATTCCCACTACCCTTGTATGTGTTCAAAATGGCAAATGATAAAAGTGGTGATCAGGTCAAAGGAGGGGGCAGTCTCCAGGCACGTTCTCAGTGGAGGGGAGGGGGTGGCCTCTGTAGCCCACTGGGGATGCCCCAGCAGTCGCTCCTGCCTTCCTGGCGGAGCCTGGGTCCCCAGCTTCCGGCTCTAGCGACAGAGGAGGGAACTTAATCGCTAACTGTCTGAGACAAGAGCCATTTGGCGGTGTTCTGTCATAGGCTCCATTTTCCCCTAATTATCCCCTGCTTTCAGAAGCCTTTTTTTTTTTTTTAACTCTATTACTCACTGCCAGTAAGACAAACAATCATCACCCTCCCCGACTAAAAGAAAGGAAAGAACCTGCCCACGCTGGGAGCTGTCTGTCTTGGCCCCTGTGAGAATGTTCTAAAAGCAAGGCTTCCCCAGTGATATTAAACAGAACAAATATAAAGCAAGTTTCTTAACAGATGTTTCCACCAAATTATAAAAAATATGAAGCAATATTTATCCCTGCCCAAACCCCACCTGGTGAGCAAAATACAGAGTGACGAAGTAACCAGTCACCCCGTGGCCTACGTGAACCAGGCTCGGGGGAGGCCACAGTGAGGCTCCCTGGGGGCCCCAAAGGCCACAGCAAGGCAGACCCGTGAGCCGTGACACGAGCTGCGGCCAGTCCCCTGGACTTGGCTTCTGGCCTGCCAAGCGCGTGTGCAGCGCCGGCCAAAGGGCACCTGGCTGTGTTTTCCCTGCACCATCAGCGGCGGCAACATCGAGGCCAGGCCCCTGCCCAGAGCTCAGCAAGTACAACGGCCCCACTCAGGTCCCGGCTTCTGTCCCAGAGGCACCACTCGTGCCTGGCAAGAGCACCGGCGAGGGCTGCATCCTGCTAGACACCGACACCAGTTAAGCCCAAGAAAAGTCAGATCTGAGTTTCTCAAATGGACCCAAAAATGAGCAGCTATTATATGCTTCTAGGCAAGTGACCTAGAAGCATATAAAAATTAAAACCAGAAGGCTCTTCTCCTGGCTACGACCAAGGAGCTTGTATCAAACAGCGCCTCCTGCTGAGACCAGCTATAAAGCCTGAACAAAGTAAAGTTAAAATGCTGCTTGTAGACCTCAGGGGGCAAGCCTGAAGAGAAGGGACAGACACCTGCCATGACACCAAGCCTAGGCCACTTGGTCCCCGGGTGGAGCGGGCCTGGCGTGGGCTTTCTGTCTAGGGCCAGCCTCCGAGGGCCCCACATGGCCTCCTTTTCTTTTAGCCTGCAGACCCGATTTAGGGCAACGAACCAGTGCACAAACCAACACTGGAGTGCCCCGGGGGTGTGAAGGCCGATGGCCCTGAGTGTCCAAGAGGCAGGGACCGGGGAAGGCATCCCGTCACCACGAAGTTCGTGGGCGTGGCAGAAGCCAAGAGCTACTTAAAATGAATCTCTGCTCGCTAGGAAAATAAAACCTGGCCCAATGAGTCTTTGCAAACAACTGGCCTGCCCCTTGGAGGGAGGACGCAGTCCCGTCCGCAAGAACCCAGGCCCGGCGCTCTGGGACTTACCACCACGTTCAGCAGTCCTCCATACGGCCCGATATCTGGCTGCCACAGTCCCAAAATGTGTCTGTATCGGTGAAGCACTACAGGGAGAGAGAGAGGACAGGACTTCATCAGAGCCAGCTGATCTTCACTTTACAGTCAATAATCGGAGGAAAGGGCGTGAGGAAGAGGAGGGACGTGTGAAGAAATCCCTCACGGAGGCTCGTAACAGAGCCTTGCAAACAAATGTGGATTCAAGCAAATATTACAAGTGTCTAAATCATTCTAAGAGTGAAAATGTAACAGACAACTGGGTCATTTTGAAACCCAGCCTCTGCGTATCAGCTCCAATGACAAGGAACTGCTGCTTCGAAGGACGTGCAGTGGGCGCCCCTGTGAAGCAATGAACCGCCCCTCCCGTCAGTCTACACAGCGGAGGAGACGTGGGACTCTTTACCAGGGGCAGAGTCCAAAACATCATGGGGCTGTAGAGTAAGATTTAATTGGATCATCTGTCTTTCTTTTACACACACACACACACACACACACACACACACATTCCCCCTTATTTCAAAAGCAGCGCATGTATATTCACTGAGGGCAACGGGAGAAAAGGGCACCTGATGCCGACCTGAGACCCCACTGCACGGCCACGGCCAGCACAGTAAATGCCCTGGGAAGAGTCCTTCGCTTCCATTTCCTCTGCATGTGTATTTGTTGAGTGAACAGTGAACAAGTGAAAGAATGAGCAAACTGCACAAAGAAGACAACCAGCTCATGCAGGGCCCTGCCTGCCAGCTTCAGGGTCTGGGGTCTCTCTGCAGCCAGTGTGTGGTGGTAAAGTTTATATGTCAACTGGACTTGGCCATGGGGGGGCCAGACATTCGTAGTCAAACATTATTCTGGTATGTCTGTGTTCCCGGATGAGATTAACATTTAAATCTGTGGACAGAGAAAGCAGATTGCCCCCCCTAGTGTGGTGGGCCTTGTCCAATCAGTTGAAGGCCCGAGCAGAAGAAGGCTGGTGCTCCCACCAGTAAGGAGACACTCCTGCTGCCTGGCTGCAGGCTGGGATATCAGCCTTTTCTAACTTCGAACTCTAACTAAATCATGGGCTCTTCCTGAAGAGGACAAAACGGCTAACCCTCCCACAAACACAGGGGAATTTTCTCCTGCCCGACTGCGTTGAGCTGGGACATTTGGTCTTTTCCAGCCTCTGGATTCGAACTGAAACATGGGCTCTTCCTGGGTCTGGAGGCTGCCGGATTTCAGACTGGAACTACACCATCAGCTCCTGTGGGTCTCCAGCCTGCTGACTGGAGATCCTGGGACTTGTCAGCCTCCATAGCTGTGCGACCTAATTCCTTATAATCATCTCTTTATACATGAAGAAATTGGTTCTGTGTCTGAAAACCCTGGCTAATACTCAGTGGGAGCCATGGACGGTCTCCAAGTGCTGGAGCTGCATCATCACAACCGACTTCAGGAAGGAAGACCAAGCAGCAGAGCCCAGAGGGACCTGAGCCCAGACAGCAGTTCTCCAGCCACCACTTGGTCTGGGGAACAGAGAAGAGGAACATGAGGCCAGAACCATCCCAAGCCTGCAGGGCATGCCGACCGGCTGGTGGGAAAATACCAACCGTTCCCTAGGTTTCAGCCTAAAGACACACTTCTCTAAATGAGCCTCGATGGTCTGCATGGCACCTGCCACTCATGCCATGTGCAATCCTCTGAGTCGGTTTACAAGACACACATTAAAGTCAGTGGTTATTTTATGGCCATACCCTGATGGGTTTTGTGTTTGTTAAACAAGCAATAATAAGCAGGGTCAGGAGCCATAAACAAATACTGAACTCAGACAGTGCAACACACACTCAGGTGTTTAGGGGTGAAATTGACTGATGGCTGCCAGTTATCTTGAAATGCATCGCAAAACAGGATGGATGGAGGGACAGGTGTGTGGGAGTGAAGTGGAGCAGGGTGCTATGGAATCGGGTAAATGGGTGTTCACTGCACAATTCTTTCTACTTTTCTGTGTGTTTTTAAAATTTCACGATAAAATAGTGGATAAAAAATTAAATGGGCCCATATAGCATGGTCTTCTCTTGTCTCCCCTCCCCTCATCTCCCAACTTGACTGCTGACAACGTCTGGTTCTTTCCAAGATCAATCAATCTGATCTCAAAGCCCCTGGAAAGACTGTGCAAAGAATATGCCCCAGACTCAGCAATTCCCAAAGGGGAGTTCCTTGTTTTGCTCTAAAAGCAGCATCTCTTTGAAATAAAAGTTCAGCCTCCCATGTGTGCTTAGAGCAGCAACTGTCTCTGGATTTTAAGCTCTGTGCCCATTAGAAGACTCAGGTGTGCCCCTCGCCCCCGCTGACACGACGCTGGCTCGCCCAGCCTGGGCCCACCCAGGACAATCCGAGGGGAGGTCAGAGACCAACGTCGTCATGTGGACCGTGAGGCACGGGGTTTCCTCAGGCCACGTGACACCTGTGTTCTATAACGTGTTCTTTAAGAAGTCTCAGAGTTAGTCTGGCAGAAGTGACCTGAAAGACTCAGCAAGTCCAGGCAGCACTCAGACAGAAGGAGTCCACTTGAGTCACATGAAACTCTAGGTGTCAGGAGTGGGAGGGCAGCCTGTCCCCACGGCGACCTTGTGTGCCCGGGGCCTGCTGGGCAGGGCAGCTCTAAGGCGTCACCACCACAGGAGGTACGGAGCACGATGAGCTCAGGCACCGGCCCCTGTGCTCTCCTCTGACCCGCACCCGGACCCTGCCTAGGGCACACAAGGGGCCTGCGGGCTTAAGACAGAATCCACGGCACCTCCTGGCCCAGGCGCTGACCACACCCCAGGGCTCCTCGCCTGGAAGAAGATTCCAGCTCAACAAGTCCTCCCGACGCTGTTTCCAAACAACCACTGACCATGCAGGAGAGTAAACGGGATTAAGTCCCAATGACACCGGCTCAGGTGCAGACGGCGGGCTTGGGACCTAGGACAGCAAGTGGACTGGGTCAGACCCTTCGGGTGCTCTCCTGTCAGAGACAGGTGTGCTGAAAGGGCCCAGCTCTTAGAAGACCACAGAAGACAGGCATTCGTGGGCAAGGGAACCCAAACACCAGAGAACCACACTTAAACTCAGTCAGAATAACGACAACACTCCTGCTCTCAGCCCCACGAAGCAGGACTTGGGCCTTCCAGAATGAACACCAGCTCAGAGACTCTTCCAACCATTGATCCCCGAGGTCAGCATAGTTGTGTTCAGAAAACCATCCCTGGCTCTAACACAACCCTCCTATTCCCCAAAATAGGAACAACAGTCCAAGATGCCTAAGGGGCGGCTCAGCTCAGGAGCTAACAGGAAAAGAGTCCTAGGCAGGGTTCTCATCTGCCAACAGGAAGGGTCACTTAACAAGCCAAGTGGGAAACTCCGATACACTGGAAAACACCCAGCCCAAAAGATCCAGCTCTCCTTGCACAGCATGCTCTGATACTGAGCAGTCGCTTCCCTGCTGTCCTACCAGCAGCTGTCATTGCCCCCCACACTCGGGACAGCGGCCCACCACCCAGCAAGGCCATAACATCATTCTTGAATCACCACATCTGTCGCTGCAGAACTGAGGTTTCTTGCCCAAAGGCAAATCATACATGCAACTAATGGTACCTCCGGCCACCTGCTAGAAGCTTTTGGTAATTAGAATAAAATCAGAGGAGGGAACACTTCCAAACTCATTCTACGAGGCCGGCATTACCCTGATACTAAAACCAGACACAGACAGCACGATAAAACAAAATTACAGGCCAATATTCCTGATGAACATAGATGCAAAAATCCTCAACAAAATATCGGCAAACCAAAATGGATCATAAACCATGACCAAGTGGGATTTATCCCAGGGATGCAAGGATGGTGCAACATCCACTAATCAATCAATGTACTACACCACATTTACAACATGAAGGCTAAAAAATCACATGACCATCTCAATACATGCAGAAAAGGCTTCTGACAAAATTCAACATCCATTTATGATAAATGGGTATGGAGAGAATGTACCTCAACACAGTAAAGGCCATGTATGACAAACCCACAGCCAGTATCACACTCAAAATGAAAAGCTGAAATCTTTTGAAAGACAAGGATGCCCACTCTCCCCACTTTCATTCAATGTAGGATTGGAAGTCCTAGCCAGAGCAATTAGGCAAGAAAAAGAAATAAAAGGTACTCAAATTGAAAAAGAAGAAGTAAGACAGTCACTATTTGCAGATGACATGATACTATATAGAGAAAATCCTAAGGACACCACCAAAAAGCTATTAGAGCTAATACATGAACTCAGTAACATTGCAGGATACAAAATCAATACACAGAACAAAATCAGGAGAAACATTCCATAGACACGTAAGTAGCAGAGGGTCTCTCCTCTCTCAGACGTACATACCGTTGGTGCCCCACTGCCCTTTCCAGGAGCACCCTTCTGTTTTATTCTTACCAATGGTCTCCTTCCTTCCTCAGTAACCATCCTGCAATGTGCTCTTGGCTCCAGTTGGCAGACTGGGCCTTCCCCTCCAAAGACTCTACCCTGTGTTATCTGCACCTGAGGATTAAAAGTGGTCTGTCTGTCTCCTCACCAGTGGAGGGGGGCGGTTTCCACCAAATTCCTCATATCTACTCGAGCAATCTGAAGCACTGCCAAGATGCTGGGTGTGAACCTCAAAACCCAGAGCCCTACAGGTACACGACGTTATTTTTAAGTTCAAAGCGCACTCGGACAGTCACCATCGATTAGCACATACAGACACGTGTTAGACCCATTGTAAGGGCAATATACCCCCTAGGACACTCCCGACGCCTTACAGACATGGATTATCAAGACCATCAGGAAGCTACATACACACACCGAGAGCAGCTGATCTGGGCCACAAGGCTGTGGGGAGATATCATCTCTTGGGTGCAAGGGAACGTGGCCCAGAGGACTTCAGAGGACGAGGGGACACGAGGCCCCACAGCTCTAGGAAGAGCACAAGTGGATGAGGAACAGCCCCGGGGCCTTGTTCCTTACAAGCCAGTCATCACAGCACACGTCTCTGGAGCTTTG